AAAATTTTACTACTCGTATTAATTTAATAAATATCATAAAATATCTCGAGCATGCTCACAAGTTTCTCAAGTCGAACTTTATTGTCTTCACCACCTCACAAAAATTTCAATTCAACCAGTTTTAATTCACGAACTAGTCAGACTCATTAATCTCTGACCGTTAACACCCCTACATGTAAAACAAAATTAGATTTCAACCATAAAGATATGGTGTATCTTAAACAAGCAAAAACATAATAAAAAAGCTGCTATACAAAAATGGTGCAAAGACGTGCAATAGGTTAAAACATGGCTAGGTATGTATGTAGCTCATGACTATTAGCTAAGCTAAGTAGTAAAAATTGGGACCATCACACGACATAATATTCAGACTAGCTATATACAGCCCTGCATGCAAATTGCTAAGCCAAAATTGGTCTGTCCAAGACAATTTCAATACGATCAGTCCAAGTTTATTCAATTTCAATAATATTGTGGTGAAGCACTAACATCCACGATCATTTATTGATTATATAATACGTGGTTCTAACATAACCAATTAACCATATTTGAAGAACCATACTCTGTACTCTTATCAATTTGCAATTATCATTTTGTAAGGACATAGAATTTAATTATAATTCTGTGTAACCGAGTTTTTTGATGTGGGGGATTGATCGTACAAATGCTTATGTGTGTACCAATAGACGTGCACGCGTGTACATATACATAAAATACTAGCTAGTGCGTTAGTAGTGCGGTCACTCTATTGTGCTCTCCATATAAGTGCGTGGTACTCCCTCTATTCTTGAATACTTGTAACATTTTTTTCATTTGTTTGTAAATGCTTGCAGAACTTTTTATTTTAGTATGAGATATATTTTTTCTCCTACAAATAATTAAAATACTCTCATGCATTAACCCATGCACCTGCACATTAATCCATTCATTTACATGTAATACATGTTCCCAAAACTATGTACAAATTCTAATGTTACAAATATTTAGGAAAGAAAAGAGTAAAAAATTCAAAAAGAAAAATAATAAGGTAAAGATTGGTGAGATATGAAAGTAGTTTTTTTTAAACTTATACATTAAACTTACTTTAACAATCAACAATAAATAACATTTTTTCCGTACGAATGTTACGTGATATATGCACATCTCCGTTCTCCGATCCTTCTCAATCTACTTGTCACATTCGGCAGGTTCCTCATACCGTTCATTAGTTGGTGTGTTCATGCTCGTCGTCACCAATTTCTTTATTTTCTTTTTTTTCTTTTAATCTTGTATTATGGTTTATTATTTTCTCTTCTAGTAAACGAAAAAAAAAAAAAAAAAAAAAATCCACACATACTCACACACAATAGATTAACAAGAACTAGTAGAATAGCTCAAATGTATCTACTTACTAATCTAACTAACAACTATAACAACACCTAATTTAGCCAATAAAGACCTTCAAGTATTGTTTGTTGGATACTATCATAAAGATAAAATTCGATTCCACATTATGGGTACTATCATTAAAATCTCCTCTCCAACAATTTAATATGTTGATTGGATGCCACCTATAAGAACTTTTCATCAACCAATTTCACTGAAATTTACATTGATATACAACTTGTGTTAGATTTCAATTCATTATTGATTAACTGAGTCCAACAATTAATAAATTGGATAATTGGACCACTTACAATTTAAATTAAATAAGGAATAACTCAATCCTAACTGTTACATTACTTTTACTTACATGTGAATTGTTCATGGGATCTCGACAGATTGATAAGTATATATCAAATCAAAATAAATTGAATCAATTAGTGCATCAATTAACAAATAAAAAAGTAAAACATGCAAGGAACTTGCAGTTTTTGACCAGCTGAATTCAAGGCAATGGAATCTGAGCACATAATATTTTGGCAGTTGCATAAAAGAATCTCATATTATAAAGTACAACTACTTATCACTTTTACCTTGGTATGGTCCAATGTCCAAGCATGGTGTAGTTGTGATTTGCGAATATATGTTCTTGCAATTGTACAATCTTATGATTGTTTTCTGAATGTTTTCAAGGTTTCACATTTTCCAAAATATATTGTCAATCTTATTGAGGGGGTGGAGCTCAATGGTGTGGTGACTGTTGCCTTAGCTAGATAAGGCCAAATTTATCATCTCGAATCTTGTTACTTGCATGATGCATACTACCAAAATTTTGAGAGTGAGTAAATGTATGGTTTGTAATCAAGATGTAATTAACTAAATTATCTTGGTGATTATTATTTATGATGAAAAGGTGAAAGAAGTTGAAAACAAGAATATTGTTGATTAAATATTCATCTTCATCTCAATGGAAAAATAAAACTCTATAATATTGTCAAAACATGTTCTCTTTTTTTCAATTTAATTTACTTCGTATATTTATTATGTTTATTGCGAAGGTTTTCAGGTATTAGGATATACAGTAAGCAGTCTCAAATAAAAGTTGACAGATTTTTGGTGTTTTTAATTTTCTTATGTGTATGTTGATTTGATATTGAAGAGTATATATACAAGAGACTAGTCATGCTGAGCCATACTGTTTTTCCTAAAAAAGCTCCTGAGAATGTGGACAACTATGCTGCAATATGGAGTCCCATACTTGCTATCCTAAAGACCCTCCTGTAAACCAGGAGTTTGATTACATAATATTATAGGCATGGTATATACAGTATTCTAACACTCCCCCTCAAGTTGGGTAGTAGGGTCTCCAACTCCCAACTTGGACAATGCTTCTTCGAAAACTTGGGACGTAACTGCTTTAGTTAGGATATCTGCTATTTGATCCTTAGATCTCACAAAAGGCAGACTTATCACCCCTGCTTCCAAATGATCTTTGATAAAGTGCCTATCAATCTCTACATGCTTTGTACGATCGTGTTGGACTGGATTTTCTGATATTTGAATTGCAGCTTTGTTGACACGGTACAATTTGCAACTCTTCTTAGGTTTGTATCCCAATTCAGACATCAATTTTCTGAGCCATAGGACTTCCGTGATTCCCTTTGCTATTCCTCTAAATTCTACTTCAGCACTGGACATGGCAACTACTTTCTGTCTTTTACTTCTCCAGGAAACCAAATTTCCACCAACTAGACTGAAATACCCAGAAGTAGATTTCTTGCTATCTCGATCACCTCCCCAATCTGCATCTGTGAAAGCATGTAGGTCAAGATGACCATGATTTTCATATAGAACCCCTTTTCCAGATGTTTCTTTTAGGTACTTCGCGATACGGTAAACTGCTTCTAGATGTTGTTTTTGCGGCTTGTGCATGAACCTGCTAACCACCCCTACAGCATAGGCTAAATCTGGCCTAGTATATGATAAATATATCAGTTTTCCAACTAATCTCTGATATTGTGTTTGATTTACCGATTCGGCTCCTTCAATGATTTGAAGCCCATGATTCATCATCATAGGAGTGTCAACGGGTTTGCAGTCAATCATACCTATTTCTGTCAGGAAATCAAGAATATATTTCCTCTGAGATATAAAGATACCCTTCCGTGACTTGAGTACCTCTATTCCTAGGAAATATTTGAGATTACCCAGATCTTTCATCTCAAATTCTTGGAAAAGTTCCATCTTTAGCCGCTCTATCTCCTTCTTGTCATCCCCTGTAATGATCATGTCATCAACATATATAATAAGGCACGTAGTTAATTCTCCGTTATTCCGGAAGAATAAGGTGTGATCAGCATTACTTTGTTTATACCCAAACTTTCTCATTGCCGTAGTAAATCTTCCAAACCAGGCTCTAGGGGACTGTTTCAGACCATACAAAGCTTTCTTCAATTTGCATCCTTCTCCAGTATCGAAATCTTGAGAGAAACCTGGAGGAGCTTCCATATAAACTTCCTCAGTGAGATCTCCATGTAGAAATGCGTTCTTCACATCGTACTGGTATAAAGGCCAATCTTTGTTTGCAGCTATGGAGAAGAGTACTCTGATTGTGTTAAAGTTTGCGACAGGGGAAAAAGTTTCATCATAGTCTATCCCGTATGTCTAAGTATACCCTTTAGCTACAAGTCGCGCCTTGTATCTTTCAATACTTCCATCAGCTTTGTATTTTATGGTGAATACCCATCTGCACCCTACGGGCCTTTTTTCATTAGGCAAAATGCACTTCTCCCATGTGTTGTTTCGGACTAGTGCACTGATCTCATCTTCCATGGCCCTTCTCCAGTTTTTGCTTTTAAGGGCTTCATCAGTAGTTGTTGGAGTTTTCTCTGAGTAGATTGCAGCATTATATGCCTTAGCCCCTTGAGATAAGTTACCTTTACCAGAATCTTTCATGGGGTATTTTGACTTTTGAGCCTCAAACTCTGGATCATACCACTTTGGAGGGATTCCTCTTGTGCTCCTTGATGGCAACACATATCTTCGAGGCCTATCTTCGTGCTCAAACCCAGATTCCACATTTCCTTCTTCCGGTTGTTCCGAAGTGTCAAGAGTCTCAGGTTGTTCTATGGGTGCATTTTCAAGAGAAAGATCAGTAGGCTCAATATCATGGAAGAAGTCAGGAGTGGGAGTACAAACCTGATCATTTGCTGGATTCTCAGACATTGACATTGGATCATTAGTGGTAGTGCCGATTTGATCGAACTGTATTATGTTGTATGTTGTCTCAGCAGTTGCATCGGTTATGTTTTCCTGTTCAGTTGGATCAGTATTTTCCTGTTCAGTTGGATCAGCACCAACTCTAGAGTAGGTTAACCAACTTAGATCATCATCGACGCTCTCCCCCTGAGATCTAAGATGGTGATAAAAGTATTCGTGTTCAACAAAGTCACAATCCATAGTCGTATACATTCGGTTTGTAACTGGGTCAAAACATCGATATCCCTTTTGATGCACACCATATCCCACAAAGACACATTTAATGGCACGAGGGGATAACTTATCCCGACTACGTTTAGGAAGATGGACATAGACTATACAACCAAAGACGCGAGGAGCTATTGAGTGAGTAGGGGGAATACTCGTATGAGTTTTAAGAGTGTCTATGGGAGTAGCTAGGTCAAGGCTTTTTGTAGGAAGTCGGTTTGTAAGGTAATTTGTTGTAGCTATGGCTTCAGGCCAAAAATAAGAGGGAACTTTTGATTCAAATATCATTGCTCGGGTCATTTCTAAGAGTGTTCGATTTTTCCGTTCGGCTACACCATTTTGCTGTGGTGTATCCGGACAGGTGGTTTGGTGAATTAGGCCATTTGCATTTATAAAGGTTTCAAGCTCATGGTCTTTGTATTCCCCTCCATTATCAGATCTTAAAATTCGGATTTGTGTCTGGAATTGTGTTTGGGCCATTTTGTAAAAAGAGATAAAAGTATCACAAACATCAGATTTGTTTTTCAAGAAATATATCCAACTCATCCTAGTGCAATCATCAATAAAAGTTACATAATACTGAAAACCATGTTTACTAAACTTTGGGGCAGGTCCCCACACATCAGAATGAATCAAAACAAAAGGTTTTTCGGTCCGGGTAGTGCTACTAGGATAATAATGTTTGTGACTTTTTGCTAACATACATGCCTCACAATAAAAATTTAATTTTGCATTAACAAGGGAAGGAAACAATTTTTTTTAAATACCCTAAAGATGGATGACCCAGTCGGCGATGCCACGTCCAGAGTTGATGCTCAACCGATCCGCGAACAAAAGTTGCACAACCACTTTGAGGCACCTGATCAACATAATACAACCCATTCTCCTCAGTACCACGCCCAATGATCCTCCCTGTCTGAGAATCCTGCACAAGACACCCATTAGATGTTATTAGAACAGTAAAATTCAATTCCTTAGTCAGTTGACTAACTGAAAGAAGTTTATGAGATAAATGTGGAATAAAGAGACAGTTGGATAGTTTGATGTCACCCGGCAATTTGATTGTTCCCGATCTCTCTACTTTGATTTTTTCTCCACTTGCGTTTGAACAAATTTTTTTGTAGGTTCAATCAGATCTTCCAGATCAGAGATATCATATGTCATAGTGTCCGTTGCACCACAGTCTAAAATCCATTTTTTATCACTTTTTTCTTTACACTTTCCAAGGAGCCCAAATACCGGTTCCGTATAAGGCCCTTGATTTTTTTCTTTAGGATCACAAATAAACTGGGTTATACATGTGTTTGATGGGTCTGATTTAATGTGAATGGGCTTAGACACATAATTGGGCTGAGAAAGCTTATAAGGAGGCACATAATTGAGCTTAGGTATATAAGAGCAAGTGGGCTGATTATAAGACAAGGAGATTAGGATTTCATTACCTTCTTTCCTTTCTTTTCCAGTTTCCATACCTGTGCTAACAATGGCAGCCGCAAGTCCCCCTTCTTCTTTCTCTTCGGCCGACGACTCACCGGCATCGGTTGCTTTCCCGCTTCTTTGATTTTCCCCCTTTTTCTTCCGTTCAGACCACCACTCCGGGTACCCTATGAGTTTGAAGCAACCCTCCTTTGTATGTCGGGTTCCCCCGTAGTGGGTACACCGGAGGTGTGTTCGCTCATCGTCCCGCCGGAACTTCGGTTTTTCTGGTTTTCCTCTGGCCGCAAGTCCACTACCAATTTCGGAGTCTTCAGTTGGGGTTTTTTCCTTTTTCATGATTTCCTTTCGAGAAATCTCTCTCCTGATTGTTGCATATGCTACTTCAATTGTTGGAAGAGGGTCTGAATTAATCAGATCTCTCCGATCTTTATCAAGAGCCTCATCGAGTCCCGCAAGAAACTGATAGAGGCGGTTTTGTTGCGCCATACGGTTGTAAACCGTTTTATCTTCTGAGCATTTCATAGGGTTTGGCAATCTCCGATCTATTTCTTTCCAAATTAAGGTGAGTTTACTGTAATACACCTCTATTGCGTTTGACCCTTGCTGGATTTTGTTCGCTTTGGTCATAAGATCAAAAATCTGTAAACCATCCCTGCCGCTTCCGTACATTATTTCGATGCTCTTCCATAACTCGTTTGCTGTTGGATAATCGAGATATTGATTCTGTAATTCTGGTTCAATATTGTCAATTATCCATGATATGACAATAGAGTCCCTTTGAGTCCATTTAACAATCTCTGGGTCGGTTGGTGACGGTGGAACGACCGTGATGTGGTTGAGCCTTCCGCGTCCACCAATAGCTAGTTGCATTAGCTTTGACCACTTAGTATAATTACTGTGGTTTAATTTTTTGGAAATTTGGATGGCTTGGTTTAAGGTTTCTGAGGTTGATCTATTGGTGTTTAACTGTGTAACTAGTTGCAATAGATCGTCCATAGTGACTGATTTTGGCACTATGGTTTGTTTTTTGGGTTGTTTTTCGGATTCCATGGTATATGATGAAACCGATGGTTGCCGGTCGTCGGAGATCGGAACCCGGCTCTGATACCAAGATAAAAGTTGACAGATTTTTGGTGTTTTTAATTTTCTTATGTGTATGTTGATTTGATATTGAAGAGTATATATACAAGAGACAAGCCATGCTGAGCCATAATGTTTTTCCTAAAAAAGCTCCTGAGAATGTGGACAACTATGCTGCAATATGGAGTCCCATACTTGCTATCCTAAAGACCCTCCTGTAAACCAGGAGTTTGATTACATAATATTATAGGCATGGTATATACAGTATTCTAACAGTCTCGTCATCACAAAACTATTTCCAATAAAAAAAAAAAATCATTGCCAAAAGTTCAATATGATATATACCCTTGTATCTAATACATAACACCATTTCGATGGAGTAAAAAAAAATGCTCATAATATTTAGCTCCATATATTATTTAATATTATCGACCATTTTATTTGGTAGGTTTGATAGATATTTTTATGAAGAACTCCATAGAATTTTCTTGCCTTCTTCCAATATTGTGATTAAGTTTTTAACAAGGTCCAAATATAAAATATGAAAAAAAGTTTCTATTTTTTTTTTTTGCGTTTTTCGGCGATTTTTTTTTTCAAAATTGAGTGTAGAGGCCTAATAATTAAGGTTTCTTGGACTAGCCAAACAATTAACTCAAAAAAAAAAAAAAAAAATCTCGAAAGGCATTTTTCGGTGGTTTTTTTTTTTTCTTCTTCTTCTTTTTCTCCTAAAAAAGCGCAGAAATTCTTGCGTGGACCTGAGATTTATATACACGCAGAACTAACGTTATTTGGAACATAGTGACCGTAATTTTAACATAGTAACCTTTATTAAAACTTGTGTGACATTTAATGTTATTTCTGTTTACATCCCAAAAAATTAACCTCTTATAGTTTTTTATAATGTCATAATCGCTTTTATTTCAACATAATAACCTTAATTTTAATGTAGTGACCTTTTTTTTTTTTTTTTTAATAATACAATTATAGTATCTCTAATGTTAGTGGTCCACAATAAATTTGTGTGAACCAGGTCCATTTAAAAATTTGTAACAAAAGTGAGTGTAGTTGCCTAGTAAGGTTTCTTGGCCTATAGACAATTAACTCTCGAAATCAAACATTAGAAATTTTTGGCCAGGCGACAGTGATGAGCCAACTTTCATTGCCATCCTTCAGAGTGGGTGATGAGAATCGATCCCATGATCCTCTAAAATCGGAGAAAAGCCCTAACTACCTGATCTATCCCTCACTCTCACTAGACTTACTACTCATCACTTAACGTATTACATGCTCATTTACATCCTCAAACAATCGTCATTTATCCCATCGCCTACCAAACGTGTAATCATTAAAAACTCCAATAAATCAAAACCCCGAACAATAATTACTAATCGTATTAAGAAAATCTAGTAGAAGAAGAAAAGAATTAGGAGGGCCGTCAAATTAAATGAAATTTTCTTGACTTAAATTTTTTTTTTCTTAAAAGTACAAACCAGTATTTGACAGTGTTAGATATAGCTTAAAGTCAAAAAATAATTTGCGGAAGCTAGATCAAAACCTAAAGCTGTGATATCATGTTAGATTTCAGGAAAACTCTTCAAATTGAAGTGTGTACCATTAATCAATATATATAGAATTTTACAAAACTTGTAATCCTACTACAATAAGAATACTAAATATATACAAAACATATTCTAATCTGCAACAAATATTATCATAACTATGATATCTATCATACAGCTCCTTATTACCTCAGTGACAACCGTTACAACCTACACCCAACTAGGAGAGAGAAGATTACCCCCCAAACTTTGGAGTTTTTTATCCATTTATTTCTCAACACGTGTCTTTCTTATTCCTACCACACTCTCACACTTTTTCACCCCTTGCGCATTTTATCCTACCACCTTACTATCCCACTAAAATGCGCTTTATTCCTATTTTTTTTTTTTCCTTTTTTATAAAAAAAATATAAAATTGGAGAAACTTTCTCTTTCAAAGGAGATTCACTACCTTTATTTTCTCTTTTTATAAAATTTCATTTTCTCTTCCCTTAAAAAAAAAAAAAAAAAAAAAAATTCATTTTCCCTTTTTATTTATTTATTTTTAAAGAATTTTAAGGAAAAAAAAACAGGGAAGAAAGAATCCCCTGTATAAAAACAGAGCAATAGATAAACAGAGGAAAGAGAAAATAAGGAAGAGGGTTTTCTGGGGTTATGGTTATGGCGCCACTGATGCTGCAGTTTATAGAGATTCGTGTCGGAAGGGTTTAATTTTTCCTTTTTTTATTTATTTTTAAAAAAGGGATTATTTATTATTTTTAAAAATATTTATAAATACTCTGTTATTTCACCTCACTCCCACCTCCTTACTCAAAACTTAGAAATACAAACAAAAAAACTCATTCATTCAAGAAAACTTGAGGTACCCTATTCAAGAATCGTTGTTAATTTTAATGGGTATGTTCCCAATTCCTCGTTGTTCATTTTTTTTCATGAATCGTAACGTAATTGTTGTTAAGTTCGGTTTTGATATATGCAACCCTACACGGGTAACGGGTTCATCCCAAATGAAGGGGAAAAGGGGTTATGATACTATGATTGATGTAAAATCCTCTTTGGGTATGGTGTTAAGTTGGGGAAATTAAGGCTTTAGTTATAATTTGTTTTTGGGTTAGTGTGAAGTTTTTGATTGGGAGTAAGATTCAGTGAATCAGGAGTTTTTTCTATGGTATCTGTGCTTGAATTTACTGGTCTCCTACATCTATGGCCTGCCCCACTCAAAAACCCCACAATATTAGATGAAAGTTTGGCTGAAATTTTTTCATCTTTTCATATTTTTAAATTTTTTTTTAATTTAATTTATTTTTAAGGTAAGTTAATTATGCCTGACATTCTCTCATGCATTATCTGTCTTCTGTTGATTGGTCATTTCCTTCCGTTTTTATTCCTGTTTTTGTGAATTTTTTGCTTGAAAGGTGCTTATTTCTGTTTTTTATTACTGTATTTTTTTTCAAGTGTTTTATTTTGATTGGTAAATCATAGTTGTAATTATTCTCAGCATAAAGCAATTTTTCTTCTAGAAAATAATTAATTTTTGGGGATCATACAAATTTGTTTTTAGTTGGTGGCTTTATTTTTAATTTTTTTTTTTTTTGGGTTATTTCAGAGTCTAGCATGAGTTTTTCACAAGATATGGATGATGAGTATGAAAAACTCATAAGAAGAATGAACCCACCAAGGTATATTTCCTTCTCTCATTTTCTATAATATTAACGGCTCGTTTAATAGACAGTGATAAACCAACACGGTTTGATTTTTGGTCATTTGTTCATCAGGGTGGTGATTGATAATGAAAGTTGCAAGAATGCAACAGTGATACAGGTTGATAGTGCAAACAGGCATGGAATACTTCTTGAAGTTGTTCAAATTCTCACTGATCTTAATCTTGTCATAACCAAAGCTTATATTTCTTCTGATGGTGGATGGTTCATGGATGGTAAATTTTACTAATCTTTTGCTAAATTTTTATGATGTGAATTAATTTAGCATTTTTTGTTAACTATTTTTTGTTTGCTTTTTTCAAAACCCAGTTTTTAACGTGACTGATCAAGATGGGAACAAAATTACAGATGAAGAAATCATTGATTACATTCAAAAGGTAAAATTAAATAATTATTCAATTAATGTAATTTTTTTTTTTTTTGGTGTATTCTTCTTATATTAACTTAAGATTTCTGTGTAAATCAGTCTTTAGGCCCTGATTCATCATGTTTTGGAAGATCTGTTGGAGTTCTTTCATCAACAGATTACACTACTATTGAGTTAATTGGGAGAGATAGGCCAGGACTTCTCTCTGAGCTAACTGCTGTGCTGTCTCACCTGAAATGCAATGTGGTGAATGCTGAAGTCTGGACTCACAACACGCGAGCAGCAGCCGTAATGCACATAACCGATCAAGGAACCGGTTACGCGATTGATGACTTAGACAGGTTGTCTAGGATCAAGGAACTTCTATGCAATGTGCTTGGCAGTAGTCACTCTAGGGAAGCTAAGACTGAGGTGACTCATGTTGCTACACACGCAGAAAGGAGACTGCATCAGATGCTGTTCGACGATAGAGACTATGAGCAAGTTGGTGAAGAGGAGGATGAAGATGAGAGGCAGAGGCCGAATGTGAGTGTTGTCAATTGGTATGACAAAGATTACTCGGTGGTCAGTATTCGTTGCAAGGACAGACCGAAACTTCTCTTTGATACGGTCTGCACGTTGACTGATATGCAATACGTCGTTTTCCATGGTAGTGTGGATGCTGAAGGGCCTGAAGCTTATCAGGTACTTTATTATCTTCTTGATCATTAGTGATGCTTATAGAATGCAGTTAGTTTAACAGTATTTTCGACGAATTATATCTGATGTTATTGTTTTCTCATAGGAATTCTACATTAGGCATGTTGATGGCTCCCCTGTTAAATCAGAGGCAGAAAGGCAAAGAGTCATCCAATGTCTTGAAGCTGCTATAAAGAGAAGAGTTTCTGAGGTATACCAATGTTACAGTAACACGCTAAAATGTCACTAATACATATACTAATGTATACTCTTATATGATGTTTTAGTCCAACAAACTAATGACCTTATTGCAATAAATTTTCAGGGACTGAAGTTAGAGTTATGCACAACAGACAGGGCTGGACTGTTATCTGATGTCACTCGAATTTTCCGAGAGAACAGCCTGACAGTAACTCAAGCAGAAGTCACAACAAGAGGAGGCAAAGCAGTTAACATCTTCTATGTACGCGAGGCCTCAGGGTATCCTGTCGATGCCAAGGTGATCGACTCAATAAGGCAAGTGATCGGGCAAACGATTCTAAAAGTGAAGGGAAACAACTCGAAAGAACGGAAACAAAAAGTTGCTCAAGAGTCTCAATCTAAGTTCTTATTCGGAGGTCTCTTCAAGTCTAGATCATTTTGTAATTTCGGCTTGGTTAGGTCCTACTCTTAAAAGCTTTGAACTAGAAATGTAAATTGCAAAAAATGTTTAGGCCATTTTAGGTGGACTAACATCATGATTTCAAATTAGGGTAGAAGAGGTTGCCAACTCCTAGTTGGTGTGCCCACTTGTTAGGAACAACTGGTTTCTTAAGTTAAGCTTAATTAGTGGCCGTTAAGTAAACATTACTCGCGAAGAGTAATCAAATTGTAAATAGTAGTCCTTGGTTACTTGCCTCAATTATTCTAATCCTCTGATTAAGATTTTAATGATCCCTCTACTAGTTTTATGGTATGATGTTCTCGGTCTTGAATCGAGTTCCGGTATTAGCGGAGTATTAAACGTAAACATGCTTAACTTTGACTAAGACTAAACTTAAATGATAGTAGTGGATTTCCACTAATAATATGACCAATAATTCCAAGAATGATGCTAAGACATGAATACATAAAATTAGTACAAAAAAAGACAGAAGAAAAAGACCTAAAATAGGTAAAGTGGAAGTTGCAAAGAAGGTTCATATATGCTCCTGCTGGCAAGGATTCCATCAAAGAATTTGTTGAAGAGTAAGCAACCACCAAATATAATGCACCAATCAAATTTGGCTAATGGAGGGGTCCTTTTGTTGGCTGGCGGCTGATTAATGAAAGCTATAATATGACTTCTTCAAACTTTAGAATTTTAGTAAATGCTTTTCTAATTAATCAATGGTTGGGTTTTGTTTGCAAGCTTTATCTTGATTATAACCCTTAGCTTGGTACTTACTCCCCTAGGGAGGTACAGGATTGAGCATTCGAGTTGCTCGGATTTATGCTGTGTTTGATTGTAACTTATTTTGTCTAAACTTATAGTATTATTTGAACATATATTAATGAATCTTAATTTAGTGAGTTAGAAATTATTTTAATTGTTATACTCTTCAAACTTTAGAATTATTTTTTTTATTTTTTTATTTTTTTATTTCATTTTGTCTTAGCTCTTATGGTAATTGTAAATGTTAAAAACATTATGTATTATTGTTTTTTACTTGTAAGAAAAAGGCTAACTACTTCTTAATATATAGTGGCATTAATAATGAATTCATATTGTATTGTTGAGATGTTGATGAGAAGTCGACTAGTCATATTTTTATGAGTATATATATATGTACAGATGTGACTTTAAAAGTTTAGAATATTTTTTGAACTTTTATTGAACTTTTATTGGTCATTATTTGTCTTCATCAACTTTATGTAACATTTAAACTATCAACAAAATAAAGTGTATTAGATAAATATGGTGTACAAATGTAAGCAAATAAGCAATGACATAATATTAGGAGACTTGAGTTTCAAACAAGTTTGTAGCTTCCATTTTTTAAATGTCATTTTCACACTTAAAGGGGAAATTAATACCATATTACACTTGGCTAGGAAAAAAAGAAAAAAAAATTCCAAAACTTCAAAAAGTTATCCACTAATAATTTCATCATAATATCCAAAATCTCATTGTGAAAATAACTTACTTTCAGTCTCATAACTATAGAGCTCCACTTGATTCTTACCATACAAAGCTCCCTTGAGCTTATGGATATGGTTATTTGTTTGATTTTGATATATAAAGTGAGAAGATTTCGTGGTCCCTCAAAATTCAATTTTTTTTTGGTAAGTGATCTTTTATTATTCACTAGAGTCCATACGAACAAGTATTTTTATAGAATTAGATCTTTTTTATGATGATTTTGTAAACTTTTTTTGTTTTCGTGTAATTGATGTAACCAAAACATTGTGGCAAGTGGAGCAAATTTTGGAAAACAAACAATTCCTTTACATATGGTGAAAGGATATGGTAATTTCAAACATTCAATCAAAAAACCAACAAGTTATAATTAAGTAACATGAATTTGTGTTAATATATAAAAATTTAACCGTTCTTTCAAATATTACAACGAATCATGTTTTACTTTGTTAAAATCAAAAGTCACAACATATATTTTATGTGACATCTAAAAATTGTTTATTAAAGTACAAGATTTTACCCAAGAAAATGGGAGAATTCCTAACAAATTTGAATGTTGAAAAGGTAGGTAATTAGACAATTTTGCTTATGTTAATATTTTTCAGTCGATGGATTTAGATTTCTATAGTATGCTTTTACATATCTAATTTCTCTATTGTCTAGTCATAATGCATACCGATACTTATGTATGGTTAGTGGTCATAATTTAATGAATATCATTGGTCTATTTGTATGGTTAGTTCCATGTGGGGTGCTGCCACGTCGCCTGTCTCCTTCTTATCATCCTATGTGTATTCTCACCAAAAAAAATGATAGTCAAATATGGATGGATGGCTTCAACATGCCGCAAATTGCATCAACGTTTTTTGATTAATGCATCAAAATTATGTGGCAGCCAGACTTTACAAGTATAATATAAAGTGATGAGATAAGTCTTAGGTGGGCCTAGCCCGCCATGGCGGGAAATTTGACCTCTTAGTTAATTGAATTTTTTAAAATCAATTGATAATATGCGAAATAGCTTATCAGATTTATAAGTGAATTATCTTTCCTTTTATATGTAATACGAGATATTATTTTCAATACAAGTGAGTTATGTTATCTGTATTACATATGTGGCTTGAATCCAAACAATGGAATTTTGGTTGTTTCACTTATTTTATTAAATCCAAAAAAAGTTAATTATAGGCTTACAAAATCACTGTTTATATTGGTGTTTAGGATGGTTGTTTGACTACCTAGAAAATTGAATGGTTGCTAAACTTAGGACTACTACAGATGATTTGGTGCTTATTTGAGGTGAAATGGAAGGTATCATTTTATCAAGGACGGTGTTTACCACAAAATACATATTGCCAATATTGATTTACTTGGATTTTACTTGCTACTTGGGACTAAAGTGGTTAGAAAAGAAATTGAAACATTTTTAATTAATCAAAAGGAAATTTGTAGTTAATGTATGTATTGGTTAACATCAGAAATGATAGAAGAAAAAATACAGCAATGTAACTGAAAGAATTAGCTAGAAACTTCTGGTGGATACTACTCCAAATCTAAATAAGTAAATCACATTATCACATGATATATATTGATGTGCTTTCGAGTAGTTAAGCCAACTACTCGAAGTTTCACGAAATCCTGGAAAATTTGCATGTTCTTAAACCTTGAAAGGTATAGCCAGAAAACAAAAGTTGCATTTAATTATGATTGTTTTACATTTTGCAAACAATCTCTTTACACTTCATTGCTTATTTATGGCATAGCAAACAATCCCTGTACACTTAGCTTACAACATGTTACTCTGTGTACACTTACTACGTGTGTATTTGAGCATTCCTCTCGAATTGGACTTGTTGGGCGTAAAAACCTAATACTTGTAATACGGAGTATTAACATAACAAATTTTCAAAAGTTTTAATATTGTGTATTGTTGTACAAATCGTATATAAACCCAAATGTACCTTGAAATAATTAAAGTCCAAGTTTGTATATTAGTGATTTAATAATGTTCTAGAATGTAAATAATATTAATAACTATATATTAAAAGACACATCAGCAATGACACGTGTCATTTTCTGGTGTGTCCAAAAAAAAATAAAAAACAAAAAAAAAACTATTTAGGAAACAAATTTTATATATAAATAGAAGATTAAAAAGATTTAATATATCCTTCCACTATATATATTGATATCCTAAGCTAAAGTTAAAAAAATGAAAATCAAATTCTTAACATAATTTGTGACATAAATTGTGCTATATACTACTCTTACCATTTTTACAACAAGGATTATTTTTTTTAAAATATTTTTGTATTTAATTATGTTTGAAAAGCTTGCTAGGAAAGATATGAATTTTTTTCTAAGCCAGTTGATTATTGAGAAGAAAAATGAATATCGCGTAAGAGAGAATGGATTAATAGTGTATAAGAAGTAAATCTATTTACGAATTAGATACATAGTTGTAAGATATTCATTTGGTTAAAAGAAGAAACAATATAAATTAGTTAGTGAAATATATATAAATATACATATATGTATTTTAAATTATCTATTTTTCAAATAATAGACTCTTTCATAATTAATTCATTTTACAAAGTAGTAACTTAAATAGATTTTTCTTATAATTAAATATAGTGTTAATAATTATAGAATAGTTATTGAAAATTACCGTGCATGGCACGAGACCTGACCTAATATTAACTAAAACTTTGTCTAACATATACTTTAGGTTGGACCAACCTAGATATTACATACTATTAGACTTATTGTCATAAAATTCGATAGCGTACAACTATATAATACGGAGTACGTACTCAATATAAATTTGTTCATGTACTGAAATCAATTGAAGGGTAAAAATTCATCATTCAACTATTTAAGCAAATAAGTAGGGACTTATTGATAAGATCATATAAAGCAAAAATCAGAGAAAAATCCATGATATTTATAAGAGAAGGGGAGGCAAATGGTCCATATATGTTGGATTATATCACACAGCTAGATCTGAACTCCACTTTCTACTGCATTCCCATTCCTCACTTATTGAAGAAAAAAGGAAAAAATAAATAAATTTATTTTAAGTTTTGTTTTTGATTTATTTTATTATTTAAATAAGGTGTGGGTGAAAGATTCTAGTGGTTCTACAAAGCCACAAAAAGATCAGGTTAGCAGAGGATGTTTATAGGCCTACAATTAACTTTTTCTGGATTTTGCCTTGCTTATTGCTTTGCCATTTTAATCCCCACAAAATTAAATTAATCGTTTGGGTCCAATTTTCTGTATAATTTGGGTAAATTTTAAATTTTTTTTATTGCAATGCACATGAAGGCATCACTCTCTGTCTTTATATTTTTGTATTTTTGCCACAATTTTCTGACACACATAGTCTTACCACATAAAATCTTGACGTACATACATGTGTTATGCTGTTGTGCGATTTTGAGTTGTGCAAAAATATGTATTTCATGTATTGATCTCGATCATCATCATTATCATCTTAGCTACGTTGCTAATTAATTACTATGCTCATCACTCAAGTGTTAGTCTGTTAGAGACACACTTACATCGTTAATTTCATAAACTTGGACACTATAAAGTCAAGCGAACTTTCAATTTGGACACAAGCAGAGGCGAAGGTAGGATTTCACTTTGAACGTGTGATTTTGACATGTATTTCCAAATTAATATCGCTTCAGAAAATATTTTAAATGCTTAGCTAACACCCTAGAGACATTCGTTAGCAAGATCCTTTTTTATATGACCTTTCAACTTACAT